ATCGTAATATTCACTGTAAACTGAAGTATAGCTTCGATCCGCTTATCTATAACTTTGATATTATTTGTCAACCAATCGAGTGATCAATTGACCGAAGAGTCTGTATTGAGAGCAGTGTGTAATTTAATGATGATAAATATAACGATTATAATATTGTACTGTAATATAAAATGGCATTTTCGATGATTATGATAGAATTATAGCATCGATAAGCCGTCCCACTTGTAAACCCGATCCTCACTTATTATTAATAGTGTGTAAAACAATTGCTGTCATAAGTTATGAAGACTTTACTCCAATGTTTTGTAAAACTTATTTGTTGTTTAAAACTCCAGTTTTATTGTACTTTTTTCACGCAATTTCTTAGAAATTTGTTTACTTTTATTGAATAATATTCTCATTTCATTTATTCATATTTTATTATCAAATAAAATGACATTTTAATGCCTTTCGTAATATATTTCTATGGCTTATAATAATAACATAAAAAATGTACTAAAATTTTTTGTTGTCTCAAACTTGTGGTAAACGAAGCGTTTGAATGCAAAAGGAATGCATTGAATGTGATGTTGGAGTCGACGGCAGTTCTAAAAGTGGTCACAATTTTGGTGTCGAAAACAGTGTTCATATATTTATAGCAACAGTGAGTGGGAAGGGATTACATGACGAAAGCGTTTCTATAATAATCCGTACGATCGGAACCACAGCGTACTCTCGCTATTATGGACTCGTCTCCACAACGTATACATCTTTCTTCCCCATACATGGCATACCAATTATGACAGCTTTTTATGACACAATTGAGTTTGAGATGCAGAAAAAACCACTTTAACTTTGTATACAAACACTATTTGACAGCCACTGGTGTTTACAGTGCAAAGAGAGTCAATACCGAGAGTCGAGCGTATAAGGTATGCGATGCGAGTGCTGTATAAATGATTTTTATCGCCGTTTGGTATAAACCCGGAAGAATAATATTGTTTTTATATAACTAATCGTAAAAATGAATGATTTTTTAAAGAAAAAAAGCTTATTTCAAAAGTTTTGAACTCACTTTACATTTAAATATATATATATTACAAAACTTTTTCGTTTGTTTGTCGGATATTTTAAGATACAATCAATTAAAATATTTACAAAAATGATTTAAAATTTGTAATGTTTTGCAAATAATAAGTTAAATATAATTTATATTATATAATCAATAGTAATAAGAATATGTGATAATTGGCATAAGTATTGGAGTCATTACTAGCGTTGACAAAATATACCCTCAACTCGAATATGTGTTTGCAATTAGTCTTAGGGTTTTGTATTACAAAATACTATACTATTTCTATAAATTATAGGAATTTTGTTGAACACAAAAACATTAAAACATTCTAAGTCTTCATTTGTCTTCTATTGATGTAATAACTGAAGTCAAGTAAACAGTTCTCGTAGTTCTCGTACTTATTATACAAATTTAGTGGACCGCTAGCATCGGTAGCCAACCATTCGTGTTTGAGACAGTCCTGACAACTGAACCGACCCCTGTGTTCACAATAACGGTTCATCATTTAATTAAATATTATTTCATGCTTTCAATCAATAGAGATATCAATATTGAGTATTGAGTGCATACTTAGGATCTCTGACGAGTAGTTTACAAATGAAATCCTTGGCTTCTTCCGAGACATCAGCGAACAGATAGGACGGAAAGTCTAGCGAACCGTTCGTGATATTACAATATGTCTCCTGTTTAGTCTCCCCTGTGAAGGGCGAGTGTCCGGACAGCAGTACATAAGTTAATATACCAATACTCCACATATCGGTGGCCAAACTGATCGGTTCGTATTGAAGTATTTCTGGCGCTATTGTAATAAAACGTATAATTAATAAAACTTATGTTTGAATATGAAGTGCAAGTGTAATGACAAGAGAGACCACTGACCGACATAATCAGGAGTTCCGACAATTTCCCGGAGTTCGGCCCCTTTGGTCAGTATTCGGGAAATTCCAAAATCACAGAGCTTTACGTCACCCGAAGGATAAGGATTTGTTAACAGAATGTTTTGAGGCTATTGTTTGAGAAAATAGATAAATAGTTAATATGTGGTGACAATAGGAGTGATAGGAAAGACTAGCCTTAATGTCGAGGTGTGCGATATTGAATCGATGCAAATACTGGACGCCTTCGACAATCTGGCGTACAATGCATTTGCAGTGATGTTCGGGTACTGACTCATCCTCGTCCAGAACGCGTTGTAATTCTCCGCCCTCTGCCCTATAAACGCAATTTTCAATACCTTTTTAATCACTAATTCATTACTCGTTTTATTTGCTTATATTTTTAGTCAAAACCATAAGAGCTATGATTCACTACAAAATATAATTTCGTAACTATTATGAAGAGAAAGTCAAACCATTTTCATCTCTTATTATTTCATAAAAGCCTAATATATTAATTACCATATTATAAGGAAAACTATATAGTTTTTAAATACTTAATACTTTAATAAATGACTTATTATATATAAAAATATAGCATTTCATGGTTTTATAAATAAACATTTAATGTAAGGAAATGTTTCCAAAATAACTCTTAAGTTGGGGTTAGAAATGAAAATAGAAAACACGCGAAAAAATGCAAGAAATGTTTGATAATGAATACAAGCGATTGTAATATTTTATGAAGTGTTATAAAGTAATTCAATATAGGCTGCGATCGTCTTATTCTGAATAAGTTATTCATCAGTTCCTATAGACTTGTATTCATTAATAATGTCTTTTGTCTTTAAAAATATTTTAAAGTTATTTAAAAGTAAAATTCATATGAATTGGGATTTTGTTTTGAAATTTATTATTAACTAAAATTAAGAACAAATGAATAATTTCTTAAAAGGGAACCTAAAAAACGAATATAAAAATCAGGTTTTAATACATAATAAATGCAAAATAATCTGAGATTTATAAAATTAAAACAAGTTTAGTGTTTTATAGTGTACTGTATATTAAATATAACTTTTTAAAAAGTATTCCACTTTTTGAGAGAGAGAGAGAGAGAGAGAGAGAATTTAGTGTCGTTTATATTATACAATATATTTAAGTGTATTTTGTAATGCATTTCAACGGAAAAACATTAATTCAGTTTATAATCCATTTATTCATTTATAGCTTACATTTCAAGCATTAAAACGAATTCAGACGCCGTTTCGTAGACTTCATAGAGTTTGACAATTCTGTCGCTTTGATTAGTAGTTAGCAGTACTCGGATCTCATGCAGGATCTCATGGCTCACATCCGTGGCTCGTCTCCTCTTCTTGATTGTCTTCGCCGCGTATGTCTTCGCTGTCTCCTTATGGACACAACGTCTCACTTGAGCGAACTTTCCTCTATATATAGACATCAATACAATCATTGGTTAACACTATTAATACATTGCAATTACAGTAAATACTAATTATTACATGAAATGCCATCTAAGCCTTAGGTGTGTAACTCATTTAAGTAATAATTTATTCAATAATACATATAATTATCTGATTGTAAATTGTTATCAATTATTGTCGATTACTTTTATTTAATATTATTCATGAAATGATAAATAAAATGCAAAAATTTGATACATTTTTTATTAGATTCAATGATAACGAAAACATATTTAACTCCTTAATAGAGAATGCAATAAATTATTGATATATAAAATATCATAAAATGTTAATGTTTTTTAAGGTCTTTTGGCGACCTTTGCGTCAAATATTGGGCTGAAATATAATGAATAATTTGTACAAATCTTAGGAATGATTAATAATTCTCTATTTTTTCATCCAAAATCTGCATTTTAAACACAATTGCTCTGAGATTTAGTTAAGTGTTTGGGGAGATTGAGGTCAGGGTTTTTCGATGATTTGTTTTAAAACACACGGAATATATTGAAAAAACAGATGTATTTGTTATCTGTTATGTTCAGCAGTTGAACGACAACAGCCTTCGGATGACTTTTGCCCAAAAATGCCGTAAAAGGCGTAACAAAGCCAACAACTCTTATGTTTATTAAGAAATGTATATAAAAAATATTTTAAAAACTCACGATTTCTATAAAGAGGTGGGAGTTCTTTATAGCAAACTGTGTTACAACACAACTGTTCTCTAAATTGTCATTTTTTACCATTCCTTCATAACTAACACCACTTCCATTCAATCATATGTTATATTTTCAAAGTTATCTTTTAATTCATTTCAATCAATACTGGATATAAGGCTGACATCCAAACACTTCATAATCACTTCAAGTCCTTAATCTTTACTTTTGATTTATTGTTGAGAATATTGTCATTCAATGAGGCCTTTGTAACACACGAACCAATATAATGGACAAAACTTTTTACAGATATAATTGTTTAACAAAAACTTTCTTCAATTCATCGATTAATTAAAAGAGTAAATCAATTGATAGGAAAAGTGAAATAAAGGGAAACCCAAATAAATGGATGCATAAACAGTTGGAAACGAAACGCATATATAGTATTCTGTCATAATTTATGATTTATTTATTTATTTATCGTTCAAAAAGCTATCATTATTTGTATGTCTTTCCAAACGGTTAAGAGTTTGCAATTCTGTTGCCATTCAAACGCAAACCGTAACTCAACTCAAACCCAATACGAAACTAAAATTAGAAATGAATTGAGAAAAACAAATAGTTGTGCGAATGTTATAAGTTATAACAGTAACAGTAAGTTATTTCTCGATAGATATCTTCAGTACAAACTTTTGTAACAACAGTAGAAACAGTGTTTTTGTGGACAAAAAAGCCGTACAATTAGAGGCAATTGCATGTGAGGGTCATTGCCATGACTTGCAATCAAATCATATTAAATAAAGAAAAAGTTGAGTGAAAAATAAATTCCCAAAAAGATAACTATTGAATGACTATTTTTTTATGGAACTAAAGGCTCGCAATCTTTTGGAAATTATTATATTTTCAAATTTCCATTTATATTGAAATTATATAATAATAGAGTCTATAATGTATTGAATGTATAGTTTCCTTATATCGTGTGTATTTTTGGAT